CTAACCCTAACCCTAACCCTAAGCCCAACCCTAACCCTAACCATAACCCTAACACACTTCGTGATACCTAAGGAGTAAGGTTATACTTTATGACTTAGGGTTAGGGTTAGGGTTAGGGTTTTTGCATCATTCCTTGATATACGGAAAGTCTGTGCATTCCTTGATATACGGAAAGTCTGCAGCATATATACGGAAAATTATTGGCAATAATACTAATAGTAATAGGCGATCGAGCGAGAGTAGAGAAACATTAAATAAAGTCGCCTGCCTGCAAAATTTCAACCGGCAAACATAAAATCGAGCAAAAATGAATTATTTTAGCATTGCACGTTTGTACTTGCCTATATGTGTGATGGGTAAAAAAAATTGCTCTGGATTACGTTCATTCAAAGCTTTTAGACTACAAAGTGAGTGTCGGGTCGAATGTTTCAAACAGTGTTTACTTTTTCCGCTCTGTGGCGATGTTGTGACGTATTACATTGTCATTTTAAATCAATGAGCCGTAAACACAGAACCGCCATTATACAGAACCGCGGCGAAAAGGGTTTTTCTAGTTGTGTTTTCGTTCAGCAAATATAGGCTTGATATTACAGTTTTGACATATTTTTACAGTTTTATTTTCAAAGCTAACGCTCAGTTAAAGTGTAGTGAGTTATTTACTTACGTTTTTACAGTGGTTTGTTACAAAAATGTGCGTGGGAAGACATCTTTAATTTTAAAAGGCTGGTAGTAAATATATTTCATGTTTATTTACCATCATTTTACTATTGCCAAATGCCAGTGGCCCAAGCTTAGTTTAGCACCCTGGAGTAGTTTAGCACAAATGCGAAAACACATTTGCAAGGTCCCAAACTATCCTTGATCCCACCTGGGCCATCCCCATAAAATAATATGGCTGCTGGTCCTGATATCAGTGGTAGGTGCTTGGTTTTATTTTTTAATCTTTTTGCACATGAGCTCGGGCATTCAATACACAATTTCTAATTCTGTCAATCCTCTGATCTAGGTTCTCTTCCTTCCGATTGAAAAAAGGCTCTCATTACCCCAGTTTGTAAAGGTGGTAGATCTTCCCTTGCTTCAGATTTTTGCCCAATCACTTCAACGTCTCTTTGACTTTGCTCTAATATATATTCTCTAATATATATTATTGATCTAATGTAAGGCATTTGAGCATAGTCTATATATTCCTTTGTTATGCGTCATTTCGATAAAAACAGTTATATTTACAGTTTACTAAGAATTTGTTGATTATATATATATATATCAGCCAGGATATAACACAAATAAATCCCTGCCTTTGTGAACCCTTTGCATACTTGCTAACCACCTCAAACTACTATACAACAAATAATTGTTAAGACTTCTCCTTCTTTGGTTGCGATCTGCTCTTTACCTGGTATGAAAATTATTTCATGATGTCAGGCATTTATCAATGTATGGTATGGCTTGCCCATGCTTGTGGTATGACAATCTCTGCATGTGAATCTTTGAATTTGTACAAAGAGACTTTATCATGTGACTTGAATCAAGAATAGTGGTACACCTGTATCCTGCTTGGTAGCAATCATTGCTTTTGGGTGAGGTCAGTCCGTCAGTATATTCAGTTGAAGGCACCTATATTTACAATGGCCAAAGGCCAAGCTAGGTTAATATTGGCTCCTGAAGGTCAGAAGACTCGCGAATTTGCAAAATTCCAAAAGGCAACTAGATTTTTTCATTATGTGATAATACATATATTCTGTATGCGATAAATCATTTTGCATACAAGCACGAAGGATTGTATCCAGCAGCTCCACGTACGTAGCATCTGTTGTCGCCAATTTTTTTAGTGTGAAGGTATTGCGGTTCCAACACACACATAGACACCCACACACCCACACACACACACACACACACACACACACACACACACACACACATACACGCACACACACAGTCACTGTCACACAGACACACATATACACACACGCATGCTTGCACGCGCATGCACACCCAACAACAGCTTTGAAAACAGACGTGTGTTTCTCTATGACGTGTACATTATGTTCCATTGTAGTGCTTAGATCATGTTTCATTGTAGTGCTTAGATCATGTTTCATTGTAGTGCTTAGATCATGTTCCATTGTAGTGCTTAGATCATGTTTTATGTAGCCACAAGTAAATACTAAATGGCGAATGTCCATAGTAATAATAGAATGTGATCCCGGGAATGTGATAACATTTGTGATAAATTAGGCTGTGATTGTCTGACCAATGGTATAGCTTGGGGTAGCACTATAGTGACAGGAAATTCTACACTTTGCATGCGCACATGCACATACACCTGCCTTGGGCAAAATGTGTCACTGTATGCGCTTGGGTTGTTGTCACATCTTCAATTCCTTTACCATAGGACAATGACACTATATACACATTCCACTCAGTGTCACCACGCTCTGGTCCCTGTTGCGCTGTCGCTGACTTGCACGCAAAGAAAGTAAGCTAGCTTCCATGTGTTTGTCTTTGTAACACTTGAGTCTTGTAGTGCTTGGTTACATTTAACAAAGCAGACTGCGTAGCTTAGTTTATACTGAGTATACACGTAATTCGTACGTAAATGCTATGCTCTGGAATGTGGTGCTGTCAAATTGGCAAACAGAATTTGTAGCAATGAACGCTAAAGTTAACTCATATTGCCAATGACTGCCATATCACTTTTCATATTTCACGTGCAATAAGATTATTGAGAGTTTTTGACAAAATATTTAACACATTTGAAGAAAGAAGGCGTAATGGGTAAGCATGATTTACACTATGCTGTAAGATGTGTGAGCAGACATGGTGCCTGGTACATTTGCACATTTTCATGAGCTTAATTTGAGTTTTATTTATTTCAGTTGATACAATTTCAGGCAACGTTTATGTCTATCTAAATTTTCTAATTCGCTTGCTTGTGGTTACTTTGAATCCATGCAAATAATGTAAAATTCATATTTTACCAAGGCTCACTGTGCGGCAATACATGTGACGTACTTATCACTGTCTTTACTTCTTTGTTGAACTGGTTATTTTAACTCCTTGAAATACGTATATAGGGAGTTAATATCCTGAAATGTTTTTAAATATATCTGACATGCAGTATATTATAGTCCTGTAGGTTTATTTATTACTACATAACACTGTTGCTTTACGTAACTATTGTTCTTTAACATGCTCTTATATACAGAGTGTTTACGATCCGCTACCTAGAAGTTTTCTACTGCCCCCACACACTCACTACCCCTAGCTGTTTTCTACAGTTTGCATGTCCACCATTTCAAGATAGTGCACATAGATTTCATTGAGAAAAATGGCCTTGGGACATAGGTGTTGGTGACAAATGCAATTAGACAGGTTTGACGCTGGTGTCTACCACCCGTTACCGGGGTCAACTGATGACAGACAATAGCTATAGGGCACAGGTGACTGAACTATGAAGTAGCCATGTAGCAGTTGTAGTGGTGCAGTGCGTTGGTTGATCATTTCACCAGTTCTCGTTTTCTACTCTCTTTACAGCTATTGTTTACCGAGTTGTTGAATCTTATATATTTTCCAGGTTTTTGGAGAATCAGGCACGTCATTGTGAATGCAATGTTGTTTCTCAGCTCAGCGGTGAGCGCAATTCCGCGCCGGACTTTTGTGTTGTTCAGTGGTCTGCGGATGCATACTAGTCTGAAGAGAACACCAAGCATGCTGAGTGTAAAGTTGTCAAGGCAGCTGTGCATGAGGTTTGGTCAAAACAAGCTACTAGTGGCACTGTCATCCAACAAGCTGTTGAAGCGTGGACGCCTGGCGGAACCCAAGGCAGGAGATGATGGGATAAAGAAGGGGGCTTTATCAAAGGGAGAGCTCAATTCATTGATATCGCTCGCGGGTCCTGATAAATGGGCAATTAGTTGTAAGTTTGAGACTTACCATGTTTTACTTACAATTGACTTACAATTACCATGTTTTTGCTGTTCGCTTCTATTCTTGATATTGATGCAAGATTGTGAATCTTTTATTGCGATGATATCTATAGCCATAGGGTGGCCTGTTCTTACAGCTAGCTGAAACTACCATTTATTGTCAATATATTCTTCTCTTCATAATAGCAACGTTGTTTATACTTACTTGCATCTCTAGTAGTTTTCATAGAATTAGAAATTACTTGTACATTTCACATAAACCGATATTCAAGAAATATGATTGTTCTCTCTCTCTCTCTCTCTCTCTCTCTCTCTCTCTCTCTCTCTCTCTC